TATATAGACGTTTTTTTAAATTTTCTTTTGTGTAAAGAAATTTTTGAAAAATTTTCATCTATTAACTGTAATAGAAAGATATGTGTTGGAAAACTACTTTATTTTATTTCTATATTATAATAATTACACGAAGAAAAACCCATTATATGATTATTTATTATATTTTATATCAGAACATTATACATTAAATCAAAACAGGATATAGGTAGATTGTTACATAAACTAAAATTTACTGTTTTTCATTTTTATCCCATGTATAAAATTTCCCTGTTTTTCTGATATAAAAAAATTTTTTTAGAAATGTGAATATAAAAACTTTTATTTTGGTGCACTGTTAGTTATGCAACTTCTGCACATTTTTAAATCATTTTTATAAGCACCATATTTATTTGCACTTTTATGATTAAATAAAAGATAGCAGATTCAGTATTTTTAAATTGGAGTGGTTGCATTGGATGTGTTCTAGTCTGGGAAATGGTGTCGTCTACCCAGTAAGATCGCAACACCAAGGCACACCCAATACTTATGACTCCATGGGCAGTACTCAGAACAGGTCAGCATTATAAACTTTAAACAGAAGAAATGCAATATTAATTATTTTGATTCTTTACTATGGAACTCATTTATTTCTTTAATAAAGATATGATTGGCATATACATAAAGGCTTTAAATTTGCTCTAAAGTTTAAGAAAAAAGAGATATTTTCGATAATTTAATATTAAATTTTGTCATTTTATTGTTCTCAATGTATTCGTACACGTAACATTTATTTAGTTTTAATTTTTTATATCTTTTTTTAAATTTTTTATAGAGTTCCATAGTAATGGTATGATCTTAAGTGCTTCCACAGGCTGCATGCAACACATTTATATATTGATCTTTTTGTTTGATGCTGGCTATTATTTCTACGCCTATTATCATTCTCCATAATTGTTTCTTGATATAACTTTTCTGTATAATTTCTCTGCCAAGTCTGTAACAGCAAATCTTTATTCATTCTGCTTCTGAAAAGATATTCCTTACAACTACGATTATGTTTGATAGCATTTAACACGGTTCACAGTTTGCATACTTATAATTTTCAGAAAATTTTTGTGTTTTTCACTAATACATATTTTGAAAGAAAAATGATGAAAGGATGTTACTAGAAAAAAAAAATAAATTTTTGAAGAGTCTCTGCAGTGTTTTTAAAAAATATATTAATTATATTTAATATTTTATTTATAGATATTTATTTTTTCAGAATGTGACTAATTTAATCATGATGTATTTTCAAACATATTTATATAGAAGAAATTAAGAGATATTGTGATTTTTTGTTGTGAAGCTGCATGTCTTATATATGATATTATAAATTTTAGTTGGACTAATTCGCGTAAAGTTGTTATACTTATTACGTGAGGTATTGTGCATCTGGTTCTTACAAACGGTATTTGTAATACAAAAGTGGTGTAACTATGTAAAATTATTTTGAGAAAAGAAATCTTTCTTTTTCTTGTCTCATAACTTTTCCTTATAGTGAAATCAATTATATAAACGAATGAAAAGATAAAAATTTATAAAAAGATAAAAATATGATAAAAGATAGTTACATCATGAGGATAATAGACATGGGATAACATCGAGTAGAAGGTAGGATATGGCTTGCAGCTTTGGAGACGGGGTAAACTTTCCCGAGCGGCTGTGCAATGAAGATACTCATACTTTGTTGGGCCCTGGTACCCAACAGTGGGGTGATGAAACCGAGTTTGACTCCCCATCTCCCTACACGAATCAGGTATTTTACAGACTTGATTCTTAGGTCAAGACAATAATCTTCTTCAAATCAATAGTATCAAAATGCCACTTTCCAATCATTCCTTACACATTTATGAATAGATATTTGTTATTATTTAATAATATAGCCGTATAAGATATCTTAAAGTGCAATGCATTTCCCACGAATTAATTTTAATAAGCTCTTAAATAAATTTGGTATCTAATTTTTTTTAATGAAAATATCGAAATATTAATTTCTTTTAAAATTGTAAATAATTGATTTTATGAATTAAATTTGATATATACAGGTAAATAATAAAGAATAATATTTTTTATTTAATATGAAATCTAAAATCTAAATTTTAATGAATTTTAATTTAAAGCTTAATTATAAAGCATATAATATTCTGTATATAATATGTGTATTATAAAATTAATATGATTAGATTTAATATGTATTATAAAATTGGAAAGTTTTACCATAAATAATGATCTCTCAATATTTTTCTCCAAGGAAAAATTTGTTAGAGAATTAAAATTAAATCCAAATTTATTAGAGAATTAAAATTAAAATCATATGGGATATCTTGTTTATTTAGAGAACTTGGCACATATTCTCAATTGTAATAAATAAATTGATGGATATCTAGACAGTATTCAATTGTTATAAAGAAGTTTATATTATTATATCTTGAATGAATATATATTATTGTTAAGCACTTTTTTGTTAACAAACAATGATATATACATTCCGATAGTTAATTCAAATATTCTTATTTTGTTGTTCTAAAAGACAAACTTTGTATCTATGACGAAATAGAAAAATATATTAAATTATCTGTAAAACCAGTTTCTTCATAAAAATAAATTTTTTTATGATTATTCTTTATATTTCATTTCATATTTACAGAAATATTCCTACCCTACATTTACAATGTCCACCATTAAATATTTTGAAAGATAACACAAGATTAAAAAAATATAATTTGTATAATTTGTATGATATTATTTATAGAAATGATTAAATATGCTATTTTATTGAAACGTTTAATATAGAATATAACATAGTTTTAGGTTTTTATATTTTACTTCCTTTACATATTATATGAAGTTTTATTATATAGATATATAAATAGGATTATATACAAAATACATCATGTTACAAAATTACAGTAAGTTTCTGATTTTACTACTAATAAATATTAAATGTTATTTTTTTGCCGAGTGTACCTGCTTCCACAACAAACTAATTCTAAAATCATTATTTGTTACTTTTATTTTTCCTTTGATAATTTTAAGGCTCGGCTCTCTCTATGATCATATTGATTTATGACGTCATAGATGAAAAATAACGTATGGTAATTTTTTGCATATAGCTTTATTTTTTTAGTTTTCTTTTGAAGATGTAATAATTTCGTGATACTGAAACTTGTAAAATATGTGAAAAATTGAGACATTTGTCCAATCTGTCATATAATAGTATAAAATAATTTTTGAAATTACGAGTCATTTTTCAGCCATGCTCAAGCAGCTGTAACAGCTGAACTGAACAAAATCCATTATTTTAAGAATTATTTTACACTTCTGTGTGATAGATGTCTCAGTTTTCCACACATTAACAAATTTGAGTCATTAAATTATTACATCTTTAAGAAAAAAATTAAAAAAATAAAGCTATACGTCAGCTATATAGCATACAAAGAAATTATTGCAAGTCATTCTCATCTATGACGTATAAAACCGATCATAAAATCAATATAAACTGAATGCCAAAATTTACTGCCAATACTAAAAATCTATAATTCACATGACGTATATTATATATTATCAGCATTGACAATAAATATTGGAATGTGGCCATAGCTGCTTAAGAGAGCCAAGCCTTAATTCAAATTGCTAAAACAGCTTGTTTAACCGTCCGTACCATTAACTTATCATAAAAGATAATTTTTATTATTATAGTATATATTAAAAAATATAAAAATGTATAAATTTATTATATGTATATATATATATATATATATATATATATATATATATTAAAAAAATATAAACAAGTGACATGTATTTGCATTTGTTTCCTTTTATTGATCGAAACAAATTAATACCTTTTTTTGATTTTTTGTAATCTTGTATCATATATGTTTCAAATTTGTTCATTTTAAGCTAATTAAATATATAATTTAAATTTTATTTACAACATATGGATATAATTATTTTACAACGTATATAGGTAAATATAGTACAATGCCTCTTTTTGGTATAATTCATTGTACTGAATTTTTGGTTGATCACAGGTCCACCATTGATCAAATGACATTGGTAGAAGAAGCTACAATTTTGGCTCTTGGCGCTGGGTAATATTGTCTGCAGTTCTGATTAGATATAATTAATCTCATGCCTGCATGAATTTGCATGTATAAGATTTTATCAAAATTTGGGCATTATTCTTTTTTTATACATTGTTGAATCTTTATCTTTAATCTTTATCTTTAGCAAATCTTTATCTGGGTGTGATAAATACAAATTAACACTGCTTACATTTTTTATATTGTGATAAAATTTGTGGGAGAGCTAAATGAAATATTGTTTTGTATGCAATACGGGTTTATGGCTTTTGTGTATGTTATACCTTATTTTTATTATAATAAATAGCTTACACTGCTATTGAAATTCTTTTTGATACAATATATTAAAAATATTTTACAGCACTGCTGTGATAGGTCCTTCTGTTGATGTCGACCAACCACTGATGAATATCGCAGAATCTGTTTGAATGACATTATTGTACATGTCCATGCGTCTTCATACAATTGCAATTTTGCTTTATGATATTGCGACCAGAATATCAATTTACATTTAGTGTTTTCTTATGTTTTAATTCTCGACAATGTTGGTTTGAAGTTTCATAGTATTAATACTGCGAGAGAAACTTATATTGAATTGTTATTGCAGTCAAAGTATTTTTAACGTTATAATTTGTTTCGCACTAAGATCTTTGACTATTAACTGTACTATATATATATACGGATTTGTTGAAAAGTATACCGTTATGATTACTTGTAATTTTAACTATATATCGCGTATAATTAAACTACATTGTAGAATAATGTGTAATATTAATGTCACTATAAATTTGTAATTATATGTGTAGAGTACAGATTGTATCATAAAATAATGGGAAGTGTCACTGCAATCAAGAGAGATTCAGTCTAAGGAAATATTGAATTGGTAGTAATTCTCTGTCAAAAATAGACACGTGTGTGCTGAACAAAATAGGAATTATAAGAAATTGCGATTAAAAATTCGTCCATATTTTATCGTAAAAAGTGGATAGGATGATTCTATATATAAAGTAATTCTTTATTAAAATGTTTATGTAAGATTGTGTACAATTTCGCAATTTTACTATATATTTAATATTTTTACATAAAATATAATAATTTTAAAGAAGATAATTCATAGTCAAGTTGAACAGGGATATGACTTATATTAATTGGAGATTTCAGTATTATTTATAAAATACATAGAGATTCACAGAGATTTTAACTTTTTTTATATAAAAATCATCTTATCGTTTTTTTATATAGATATTTAATATAATTTTTTTTATAATACAGGATATATAATAAAGTGCCATCGATTTTTCAAATTTATAATATCAGTTGCACAATATAATGCTATTATGCGCTATAATAAAAATACTTGTACTTACACAAACATTTTCGATTATTTATACGTTATTCATTAATTTTGGAGAATATAAATTTTTTTTATACTTAAAACAATTTAAAAAATATAAATTATTGATTTGTATAACTTATATGGATTTTAGGCACAGGTTGTTTATACTTATATTGGACTGCCATATTTGTTTATATTTTTTAAGAAATTATTTATATATATACTTGTGCGTGAAATATACGAACATTATATGTACGTAATCAATTTTATAAATAACAATTACTACCAACAAAGTAAACAATTATTAAAAATTAAGTTATGTAAGTTAGTTTACACATATAAATTATGTAACAATTATATTTACTTAGGTATATTTACTTAGGTAGGTATTTTTGAATTTCTTACATACATCTGCATTAATGTAAAAATTTACATTAATAGGTTTGAGAATAATCTACTAATGGCTGCTAATTCAAAATCTTTATTATTCGAAAATATAGTAAATATGTTTAAATTTTTGTAAAATTATAACATTTATTTCATTTTACACATATATACATATATAATATAAAATATATTTCGTGTTTATGAAAACATAAATAATGAAACCATTTATACATTTATACATTTATATATGTAACATATACATATATGAATATCCATTTATAAAGTATAACCATATCTTTTAACCCAATTTAATCCTTCCACAGTCAATGATTTTGGTCGATATTCCAGACCAATATAGCCAGTATACCCATTTTTTCCAATAAAGACAAGACATATTTGTAATCAATTTCTCCTGGAGTATCTGGCTCATGTCTATCAGGAACTTGAGCTATTTGAATATGACCTATAATAACCAATATATGATCAATATAAAAATGATATTGATGAGTCATTTTTATTATTCAATGAATCAACTAAATTTTGATAAATGAAATATTATCCTTAACAGGTTGTAATTATGAAATGGAATTGAAAAATATAATTTTTTTATAGAGAATTAACATAGATAAGAATTGACATAATAAAAATTAACATAAATTAAAAAATAGAGGACTAACCCACATAAGGTAGAAAATCTTGAATGCATTTTGTAATATTACCACAACAATGTTGTAAATGAAAAATATCCATCATCAGTTTAAAGTGTTCATTGTTTATCTTCTTTACCAAGTTTAAACCTATAATAAAAATAAAAATATGATCAATATTTTATTATGAAAAATTATAAGAAAATATAAATTTAAATTTATACCTTTTTGAAAATTATTCATATAATAATTTGGTACACTGTAATTATTAATTGGTTCAATGACAACAACAATATCCTCTTTTTGACATTTTTCAACAGCATACAACAGATTCTTCTCATAAATTGTATCATTAGCAGCGGTAGGAGTGTCTACCTTTCCTGACATTATATGAATCCTATTAAGCATAGAATTATCGTTACAATTATAGCACAAATTTACAAGAGTTAATTCTCAATCCAATTTGAATATTTGTAATTTACGATTATACTCACATTTTACAATCCAAAGCTTTTGCATATTCTATTGTCTTTTCAATACTCTTCTTGAAATTTTCTTCTTCGCCTGGGATTGCAGCAAAACCTAATTCTCCTTTTGTGACATCACCTATGATAGTATTAGAATTAAAACTAATGAGATAATTTTTATAACATAGCATATTTTATAACATAACACACAATATACCTGTAAATACATTTAAAAGTATTTGGTCGACATCTGCCTTTTTTTTGGCTGCAGCAACTTGTTGAATAGAAAAACCAAATGGAAATCCACTTTCGACTGCTTTAAATCCTGCTTGTTTAGCTAATTGATATCTGTCAATAATATTTGGAACCTCGGTAAACATAAAGGAGAGATTACTGGCAAATTTTAGAGCCATAATGGCAATAATCTGCAAGGAATGTTTAAATGCAATATGAGAAGTAGATGTGAAACTTTCATGTATGAATTATATAATAATTCTTATCTACGATAAGAAAATTGAAACAGAAAAAAAATTCTTTGTTACCAGGAGATAACTTAAAGAAAAAAATCATCACTCACCTAATCACAAAATGTAGGTATATATTTTTGAGTTGCAAATATGTATCTTTTATCCCTGGATGGGAAAGAGAAGTGCCTTCAACTCGTCCACTGAGATTTTTTTACTTTGAGTCGTAAAATAAATATAAAGGTTATTTCTCATAGAAATTTTTGTTTGGATTCGTGCATTTTCTTGCTATATCATATCCTCGTCGTAAATGTATAAAGAAAAACAAATTGAAACGAAAACGAGTATGCATATGATATAAACATTAAGATGCATACAATATTTTACAAAAACATACTTGATTTGTACAAAAAATTAAAACTCCCGGATGTCTCGTATTTTCTTTATATTAATATTAATAATACAAGAGTTTTTTTCATGTACTGAGTCACTTATAACTGTTTCGTAACACTATGCCAAGTATTCTTTCTTTTCTTTCTTTTTTTAAATAAGAATGATCATCCGTGATTAACAAAGAAATGAGAAAAGAGGGAGAACACGATCGACACGACTCTGGAATCGGGAAGCGATTGCTCCCCTCCTAAGATGTAATTTCTTTTTACGTTTTGTTTCAATTCTTTCTTTTCGACTTCTATGTGTATATCAGTTGTACTTTTCTATTCTCATTCAATATTATTTATCTCTAGTTATATTTAGTCTTGTATGTTATAGTTGCTTTTATATTTGTCATATATGCAATAACAGTAACATATTTAGTGGAGAAAAATAAATTTTGGAAAAATATATAATAAATGTTTATATTATATAGATTGTACACATTAGAAACAAATAAAAAGGAGAAAAAATTTATTTGATTATACATTGAACAACAGAAATAATCAATAAGATAAGAAATTAATACCGAATGATGAATGACCAAAAGAAATGTTTTAAACAAAGCATGAAAGTCAGTTTTATTTATTGAAAATTCACGAGATCTTATTTATATGTTTACTGAAAAAAATAACACATTTTTATATATGCTTTTTTATATATGCTTTTGGCAAATCCTTAAATCTTAAAATATTTTTCATTAATAGAGTTGGTTGCGAAATAATTTAAATCAGTTCATAAATATTAAGATTATTAAGATTACACAATAAGTAATCTTAATAGGAGATAATATGACGTGTTTACACACACACACACACATTATATATATATAAAACATGCCATATTACCTCCTATTAAGATTAGTATACATACATATATATTTGTGTGTGCGCGCGCGTGCGTACGTGCATGCGTGCCAAAATGCTTATCAAATATTCTTTTTTAAACATATTATATTTTTTATATTTACATATGTATTCTAAGTATTCTTTTTTAAACATATTTTATTTTTTATACATTTATATACGTATAAATAGTAGACATTGTTATAGAAATAGTATCTCTATTTTTAGTCATAATTTTCCAAAAAAGTATATCGATTTTTTTTTCACGCATATGAAATGAAATCTAACAGTAAATAATGTTCCTGAGTTAATCATTGTACATGCAATGTAGATAGAAAATTAAAAACAATTGCTAAAACATCGTTATTTATAATTTCATTAAAATTTTTTCAACACAGCCACGACACTATTATACAAAATTGTTCTTGCATCACGACCCCAAAGATAATCGATGTGATTAAATTTTTCGTATGTTATTTTTTCAGTCTGTATAACATTTGGTAAATTATCAACCAATTTTTGAACATCCTAAAATAATTAGAAAAAATTAAATAAAGAAAAAGATATAATACAGAAACGGATATAATGCAATATAACATTAATATTTATAAAGAAATTTATTTTAAAATCTTACAGTGTGATGAGTGAGAAAATCATTCTCACTGTAGAAGATTACCACGGGTACCTTTACTTTTTCAAGAGCATACTTAGGTGGTTGTGTAGATCCATAAAATATCAAGTTTGTTTTAGTACCATAATCATATTTCCGAAAAGATCCTGGGAAACAATTAGAACAAATAGATTATATATAAAATCTCTCATAATCAATAAGTAGTGTTTTCTTTTTATTTTCAAAATTAAAAAAACGAGCTGATGAAAAAATTTGTATATTCATTTAGTAAAGAATCGATTATATTTCCAATCCAATATTTTTCTCATATTTAATCATTAATTTTTTCAAAGATCAAAGATTTTAAAAATAAATTCTTTTCTATAAATTATATATTTTGGAGAATAATGCTAATTTTACGGAAATTATTATCTTACCAGAAAGTATTAATTGGCCAAAATGAAGAAATTGCTTGACCGAAGAGCCTGCCGGAGAGTGTCCGAATATTAAAGGCAACATAGATTTATCGAGTTGATCACTACCGAATCCAGCAATAAGAAAAAACCAACAGTTGCAGAAACCTTTTGTTAACGTGCAAGGAGCGTTGCATACGAAAGTACGCAATACGCGACTTTGCCACTTATTACAAGGTAACCACTGGTGTATGTTGCAAATGTAGCTTCCCCACTGAAATGCATGGCAAATGTGACATAATTTCGTAGACAAAGAAAATTAGGAAATGTGACAAAGCATTACCTCTAATATAGTGTTAAAATATATTAAGAACTTTAAAAGTGGACTTCTTTGATTTCCCAAAAACACTGCAGGTGCCAAACTTATCATTCCTTTGACTTTAGCATTGTATTCGGGTCTTTCGCTTCCCATAACATAAAATGTGGCTGCACCTTGACTGTAACCGATATAATATAATTTGGAATGGCCAGTTTTTTCTAAAATATAATCTATCATTGCTGGTAAATCATAATATCCAATTTCGTGCCAACTATAACAAAAATATGTATTGCGTTCATACATATGATATTATTAATCATCTTTTTATATTTTTTCAAACAATTTTTGATTACCTAAAATTCCAAAATTCTCTGTCTTTAATCGAATAATACTTATGAGATTTAGAATAGGTGTTTCCACGAGCGTTTGCGAGCCAAACGTCGAATCCATTGTCGCAAAGAATATATGCTGCAATATGAAAAGTTATATGATGAATTAAAATAAATTCTATAGAATATTTATATGATATTCTAATAATGATAATTAATATATCGCTAATCTCTTTGTTAAAACATTGGAAAATTGTCTAATGTGAATGATATATATTAGACTGAAACAAATATAATAAATATGCAAAATAATAATAAATAAAGAGATAAAAAAATAAAAATATTATTTGTAATACTAACCAAGTGACTTTTGAGGACCCAATAGCACCCAATCTGCGGAACTACTTAAAAGTCCATGATTTATAATAACTGGCAATTTAGAGCCTGAATTGGTACAAAATCTGAGAGTTTTTAAGATTCGATGACAATTGAGAGAAACTGACGAATTATAATCTTCACTATTTTCATTATGAATAGCTGCATTTATGATAGAGTCAGCATTTAATGGCACTGATGGTACTCGATCATTCGATGAAAGTACACGATGTACGGTCAAATAATAACCGTCTTCTGTGCAAATCTGGTGAGTCTCAGATATGTAACCATGAGCTTTGATTAATTCAGGCTGCAATCAAATAAAATAATTATCTTTCTGTTAATTTTTTAATTAACTTCTGAAGATGACTTAAATGTGAGTCAAACGTATTTGTCATCAAACGCTCAATTTGTATTTAATTATTTTTTATTTTGTACAAATTTAGTATTTTTTAAATATACACTATAATCTCATCTAATTCTTATTAGTCTTTTAATTTCTTAATATTTTTAAACTTTTATTTTCTCGATATTTTTTAAAATGATTATATCGCATAATTCTTCTCGTAGGGCAAATGATTTCACATTTCAATTATTTTCACTTAATTGATTATCATATAATTAATATTAAGTTTATTTTTAACGGGCACTGAGACACCGTCACAAAAGATGTTTTAAAAATTTCAAAAAGTAATTTCAAAAGTAAGTTTTCAAAGCGAGACAATTCGATTTAGATATCGCAATATTTTTCTAATTAATTAACTGCGGATGAAATATCACGTCAAAACACGATGGCTTCTATCCGGAAATGGAATCTATCGCAACGCAAAAATGGATTTGAACAGATTTTATTTCACCTGAACGAAAATCTATTACGAAATAATGCAATTGCCTCATATATTACAGAAGTAAAAGCTATCACGCCGTTATCATTAATGGCAGGTCAGCTTAATCAATCAATTAAATAAATAAAATTAAAAAAAAGCTCGATGACATATTATTTAGTTTATTTAAAACAAATAAACGCTGAAATCCGCAGATAAAAGAATTAGTAGGATTAGTAGGAATTGTGACCAAAGCTCGATTTTTGCAATTTTAAAGAGAAACATCAGGAACTTGAAAAATTGATTTCTTTTACATTTTATTAAAGTTTTAAGTTTCAAAAATAGTTTTTAAAAAGTATATAATAGAATTCAATTAAATAATAGAAATATAATGGAAATATAATAGAAATATAACATTTATCATCAAGGATGTCAAAATGCGACAAAGGCTCGCTAATTTTATATAATATTTTTCTTTTTCTTTAGACACAACACAGAGCTATCTGTGTGTGCTCACACAGAATATAATCAATGATCCAATTATTAAGTATCACACGGCGATTAAAGAATGGATCTCATTTATACTTTAATATTTCTACTTAACCTTTGCTCTTGATTTCCATGAACCCGTCGAGATCTATTTACGTCCATTTCTATCAATATAGATTAATTTTAATTTCGCTTCAATTTACTCTTTGCCTTTTTCTAATTCTTAGAAAGATAAAAAAGGTTAGAAAAGATAAAAAATAAACTAAAGTAAATTAAAACAAGTAAATTAATTCACAGTGATAAAAATGGACATTAAAGACATGACACATAACGCGTGTCTTCGGTGTTTCCACCAATCAACTACAGATTACTGCTTCTTTTGAAAGTGCTCCATGCCGCATTATGGTATTTTAAAATTAAAAAAAAAATCGATATCTAAAAACATCTGTAGTTTTTTGTGTGAGAGAACTACACTCTGATAAGTCTGCATGGCATATAACAGGTATGGCAAGTTTACAAATTGGCCATACAGAACAGAAGGAGAGTGAAATAAAAAAGCAAATAGTAATTTATCAAGATTTCGCAATCCATACAGCATATTTTATCCGAGGGATGTATGTCTCGGGAACATTCTTTTAAGACATTCTCCTATCCATAGTCCACGTCTTTTGGACGTTTTTAGAAACATCTCTCGGAGATCTGCGCTGTATGAGAATGTTACATGCAAAAAGACGGATCGAATAGGGACATGCTAATCGGTCTTATTGCTGCTTCGTACGTGTAGGAATTTACATACGAATGGGCGATATGTATTGATTACTTATCTTCCAAGTGGAGAACTTAAAACGAATTTTTAAAACGCTTCGCATTATCTTCATTTTTCATTCTCTTCCCCATCGTTCGAACTTATTGACGTAATTTAAGCGGCTAATTTCTCATTATATATATATATATATATATATATATATATATATGTGCGGGGGCAGGACTGTATTCCGTGGGTATATCGAGAGGGGAGCCTGAATCATAACACTTAGCTTGGGTCAGACTGAAAGAGCGGCAAGGTGTAATGAAACAATTTTTCAGTATCCCTTCCCAGTGCCCCGAAAGTCGAGTCTGTACGATGACCTTGCATCCGCCATTCGCAAGAAAAAAAAGTTAATTATTTGCTGGCCATGAAGGAAGAGTCTTTGCAAATATCGCAATAACAAGATCTTTTCTTATGCTTGTATAATTAGCGATATATAATTATTAATTACCAATCGTGGATACAAAATATCGCAAATATACGAGGAAACGGCAATTTCAACTTATCTATATTCATAAGCAATCTGAAAAAGCATTACCGCTGATAAATTTCATAATTTTTTAATTAAACATTAGCAAAATGTTTAAGTGAACATTCAGTAAAAAATTCTTAAATAAATATTAAGCATATGTGTGTATTCAGGATGTGTGTATTCTCATTACAAAGCTCAATGACGTTTTCAAATCAGTTTATATTAATTTATTTCGAAAAAGCGAGAATGTTGATACAAATCGTCGATTTCTTTTCCATATTTCATTTTTAATATAAATCATCGGCTTCCTTTCCGTGTTTTATTTTTCGTAAAAATCTATTTTAAATTTTAACGTTTTATGCAACCCCTGGCAAAAATACAAATTGGAGCGTAAGTCAAATGTAAGGAGAAAGTAACAGAAGCATAACCTTTTAGGTAGTTTAGATTGGAACATCAGAAAGTAAAAGTGATATTTTAAGTGATAAACATCTCTCTTATGTTTTGCTGTTCTAATTTATAAAAGTTTCATTGACGCTTCTGTCATTTTTCCCTTGCATCTGATTTATGCTCCGATTTGTATTTTCGCTAGGGATGTTGTTCTAAAATTATTAATAAAAATCGATTGCACGTATGTATATACATATGATTTTGTTAAATTCGTTATCGTTACTAAAAAAAAAGTAACTGTAACGGAAACGGCGTTACAAGTAATGCGTTATTTCCTAATCCTGCTTTTCATATAGATACATGATCGTATTATGATTCGTGAAAAAGTTTACGAGAAATTAGAATAAGCGGAAAAAAATGAAAAGTGAAATTTCTCTCGAAATTATGATCGATGCTCTGAGGATATTGAGAAATATTACGACTGTGTGTTCCATTTGGATGCTCACATGCTGTAAGTATTCATTATATTCATTTTATCTTTATTACTTATTACATCAAAAGAAGATAGAACAAACGTTTAAGGTCTATACATAATAGACAACAAGAGTAGAGAATAAGATAGGCAATAGATTTCAACCTATCAGAATCTGCGTATCGATTGCGATTTCCGATAGGTTGAAATCTATTGCCTGGATTATTTCCGTCCCACTTGTCCATTGTGCATAAACTTATACATTCTCATCTAAAAATCTTTTTCTCTCAAGTTATCTCTCAAATTATCTCAATAATTACTTTTTTATCTGTCCAAATAATTTTTCAGTTTAATACGTTGGCTATCCGTGGCGCTTTGCGCCAACATTTTGAACGCGCGTGCGCGACGCTTCGAACGGACCTCCGTCTACCGTCGTCTCTCTCCCTCTCTCGCGGCCGATACCGTTTGTCGTCAAGCGGGGCCGCCATGATCGTCCCGGCAGTGTTGTGTGGACTCTCGCGATTCTTCGGCCAGGCCCAGGCATACGAAAACACGTCCATTTCCTGAGGCGCCGTAGACGGATTCGCATCTAGCGCGCATTTACCGATCACGCTGTGCGCTGCAATGGCGGTGTAGACACTTCTGAGCGCAGGGCTCGCTTATCTCACGGTGTAAGTAATCGATTTCGATGCGATTTTCGCGATCTTGCATGCCTTCGGCCACGATGCTTCAGATCGGCCGCCAACGATCGGTGACGTCGATGTGTCGACGGCTGTCGCGCGCGCGCGAGCGCGAGCGAGCGAGCGAGCGAGCGAGAGCGGAGCGAACGACAAACGCGGCATCATGGTGCGCGTTCGAGACATGTTCAGCTCGCTCTCCGCCCGCCCGTACTTTCGAGAACCCGCTCACTTCCATATTGAACGTGTTTGTCAGTTTCGCGCGCGTATCGCATCCGCCCGTCTCCGAGGAGAATCCACGTTTCGCTGATAATCATCGTTCGCTGTCCATGTGATTCAAGCACGTAAGCGCGGCGCGAGGCACGTTGCAGTATCCCGCGGAATCAGGGCGTATCAGGTTAGGATGATATGAATCGTGTGATCGAGGCGGCATGTGTTCGCAAAATTTCCCTTCTCTGTTTCATATTTCCCTGCGCGAGGACACAGATGGAATGAATCCGACACGATCCATGAAATTGCGAAATGTATTTCGCAGTCGTGAGCTACGTTATAATAATGTAGTCACTTCGCAATATTCGTAAAACTTCAATCGCCAAATTTCCGTTAGAATGTTAAATTTCTTTTCTGTTTTATACGGTGAATATGTTTTGTTGAGAACTTTGTTTTATTTTTAAAAATATCAACTATCAAAATTGATTGAATTGATGTGAATTTATTAGAAACTAAACTGTTACTTGAACACTCACTTTCGGGTGCAACTTGATTATTTATGAATATTTTAAAACTTGAAGTAGCTTTTTTTGATTTTAAGCTTTCGCAATTCCATTTTCAATTAATTTAATTAACTGATTAAATGTCAACTGTGATTGATCAATTCTGATATTTTTCACTTAACAAATGTGATTGGCCAATTTTAATGAATAATTAGCTGATTAACTTAATCAAAGATAGTGAAACTGTTCTTTAGTGAACAATATTTTTTATAATATTGAAGTAAAATTATCAGAAAATGATAATCATAATAAAATATTAGTATTGTTTGTTTTGTCTCTTGGGAGCTGCTTTCTAAGTTGCCCCGAACGAACTCAGTATACTTAATGGTGTTCTTATAGACAAAAGTTATATGGGGGAAAATTGGAAACGAAGTAAAATGAAATCGAGAAATGTCACATTTAAACAGCATGCACAGGTCATGTTTTGGACAGATTAAAAAACCATCGTGTCATCATATTTTTTTTACAGCGATCTAAGTAATCCCGAGTTCACTTCAGAATCTTTCTGGGTACAATGTAATTTCTTGTTTTATGATTCATTTCTGAAGTTTCTTTATCCTAATCCAAAGATATTCATATTTGCTTGGATCTGCTCCAAGACAAACCCAGAATAGATGAAATGAACAATGCTATTGATGGATGGTTAAGATTTAATATTAGAATTACTGTTTTAGACTACTGCATTGTGTCTCGTAATCTGAATGGACAATAAGGTGGATGTGACAGAGGCTGAAAATATTTCAATGATTGGAACATCTGGAATTTTTCACTTGCCTGATGTACCAGAGATATCGGAGGCACTAGAATCAACTGGTCTTAGTCCCTTGACTTCTTCTCTAGATCAGACTCTTACACTACAAGAAGACAAGGCTCTTTCGTCTGAAGTTAATATGGGCATTGAAGATACATGGTACAAATATCTTTTCTATAATTTAAGAGTGATTTGTCAAGAGCACCATTAATTTGTCTAATATCTTCTTAGGACTGAAGCGAATAGTTCAACATCTGATTATGCGATTCCTCTTCCTCCACCACCTGGGTTAAATGATTTCACTGATATTGGTGCTGATCCTATTGATTCTGGAACTGGCATCGAACATGGTCCATTTCTGCCACCTGGCACGCCAGCACTTAACAATATCTTTGCAGAAGCTGGAGATTCCCACGATGACTCGCCAATGGGTGAGTGTATATAATGTAACATTCGACATTAAAAACCAATGACATTGTGCAATATAGTCTTATTCTTTCTTTACAAATATTTTCAGAGGTAGTTGTTCTACCTGCAGGTGTATGCGGCCTTCGTAATTTGGGTAATACCTGTTTTATGGCAGCTGGGTTACAATGTTTGACTGCAACTCCTCCTGTCCTACGACATTTCTTGGATTTACAGCAGAGAGGAGAGAAACTGCCCCCACCTGGATCACTAATGGCACACTTCAGTTTACTTCTTGGAAAAATGTGGTCTGGGAGGTACAGTGTACTCAGACCAACAGAATTTAAGCAAACTTTAGGGGCTTATCATTCACAATTCAAAGATTATAGGCAGGTGTGTATAGCATCGATTAATTGTTTATTTGAATTATATGAAATTGTATCGTTATTTTTAATAGCATGATTGTCAAGAATTTCTGGCGCTTTTGTTGGATTCCCTCCATGAACAAATGAATACGGCAAAATGTGTCAAAAATAGTCAAGTTTCATTATCTACAACCACTGCCAATTCTTTCAATTCTGTTGAAAATTCAAATGGAAAAACCCTTTCCCCTGTCACTGCCACGGCCAATTGTAATTCAGATCTTTTGGAAATGTATGAGTGCTTGTCACCAGATTGTCCAAATAGTCCGAATGTGACTATGGCTGGTTCACCAAGAGGTAGGAAATTTACACAATGTAAAATATTGTATCTTAGATGTGTGTTGTATCTTAGATCTTGAATGTCATTGTCGATATTTTGTAAGAGTTTGATTCATCGATTGGAGAGCTCGATAGTATCACGAATTCACCGAGAGATTCACCGTTAAATGGTGAAGATGATGAAGAAACGCTAGATTCAGATGAAACTATCGAGGCGAGATCGAGCACTTTTATTCACAACAAAGTAAATGAAGAAAGCGCAAGTGAAGTTACTCCAACACGATCCTTGAGATTAGACACGTTAATTGAATTATCAAAAAGCGTACCTCAGTATGGTTTATATGATATTCATAAAGAAGCTAAGACGAGTAATGCCAATTTCTTAGTAACACAACAAGAGTGTAATAACGAAATTCATTATGACTCACAGAAGTTTCCCAAGGATAATGCTCGCAGAATGCCACTAGACAATTCAAACTTAATGGAGAATCATGATTTTGATAATAAGAGCGTTAGTATTAAACGCATAAAGGAAGTCAATGTTCAGAAGGTCAATGGTAGTCTCGATCCCGCGTCAAACAGTGCTGAAATTGAGTATGATAGCGGTCTGGAAAAATGTAATGTGAAACGCATGAGATTAGATGATCAGGAGAAAAATCACAAGCATGACGGTCTTAGCAGTGAGAGTACCCAATGCTCGCGGATTCCACAGAATTATGGAAACGGCGCTATTGCTGCGCAGGACGAGCTCGAAGCGGATAAGCATTGGGCGAAACACTTGCGATCAAACAGGAGTATCATTGTTGACACTTTTCAGGGGCAATTTAAAAGCACGGTAAGAATAATTTACCTACTGGGAGACTATACGTTGGAGTTGATACCACAAATCATTGGTATTTACTGTAAAAATCTCCCATATTAAATTATAGTAGATTTTCCATCTTGCCTTAAAAATTTAAAAGGCAGGTTTCATACTACTTTTACAGTTCATAATTTCTTATATAATATATGTATAAAAAATATTTTTTTATTAAACACTATATTCCTATAATTTTTCTCAAAGTCAACATTTTCTTTGATTAATTGAGAATAAATTTTTCTTTAATCATAATTTAAGATAATTTTTTGGAAATGCTATCTCTGTGATACTGAATACTGAGTGCTTTCCATTTAATGATACAAGTCGATATAAACATTGTTTCATTTTTCTTGATATTCAATGAGTAACAAGGACAAAACATTACTTGTGTCACTAAATGAAAGCACCTATTTATAGTATAAATATGTTGTAGGTCATATGTTCGGTTTGTAACCATGTTTCTGTTACATACGAACCTTTTATGTATCTATCGGTACCTTTACCTCATGCTATGGAGAGACAATTGAATGTCATGTATGTTCCTGCCAATGGTGATCAACCTATAAAATGTGTTATCTCTTTAA